CCCCCCCTCAAGCCGCTGGCTGGCTCCCTTCTTCCACCCCCCGCCTCCCCTCCTCCGCCTCCTCCACGCTGTCTCTCTCCGCCATGGCCTTCTTTCGTCGGGCCTCCCGGCGAGCGATGTCTTCCTTGCTGCGATTTGCCGTCCCCCACGCCAACATCACCACGCGCGCCACCTGGTTCGCGATCGACTTGGTTAGCAGGGCCTGGCCCTTGGGAAGGGCATCCAAGGCCCGGTCAGAATTTTCCAATATGTATCCGGGCATTTCCACGCCTTCGCCAAGGAGGAAAGCCAGGGCATCGCGGCTGAAATGGTTACAATTATGCGTGAAAACTTTGTAGGTGTCAATATTGAACCGAGAACTCAGTTCTTCCTCCAAAAAAGCTTCAAACGCCTTACGTTCCACGGCCGTCTGCCCCAGCTCGTACGTGGCGTGAGGAGCCATCCCGAATGCCGTCTCCGTGTCTCCCAAGTCCTTACTTTCTATGCGGGTAGAAAACCAATACTCTTTCCCAAACACACCGATCCCCACGTGCCAAATAGCCGGCATTTCCTTCCGGAGCAATGCAGACATCATTGGTGTATATTTACCACCAATGTCATATACTCGTAGCTCAACTTTGTTGTGCTGAAAAGCCCCTTGCTCTGGGAAGGAATCATCTTGTAAGGCAGAAGAGGAGGACAAGGTAACACGGGCCGAGGTCGGGGATGTCGCGGTAGCAGAGAAAGGTATTGGTGGCAGAAAGGCTGCTATCGGTTTATTTATTATAAGCAAGACAAAGGACGAAAGACCGCAGAGCTTGAGGGACGGCAGCATGGATCTGGCCTGTATTCAAGGGATGGAGGTGTTAGGGTTGAAGACCCCGACTTATGACCACGTCGAGTCACATTGTAGCCAAAGCATGAAAGCTCATTACACAGAGTATTTGCCGCACCACCAGGCATCCTCCGAACCGGTCCGGTAGCATTTTTCCGCGGCAATCCCCGGCAGCCCGTGGACGCATAAAAAGAGTTGAAGGTCAGCTTACTTGCAGATCTTTTTCCACTTGTTCCACGCGACTGGTGAAGTCGCTGAATTAACCCGACCTGCCCCACAGCCTGCGTGTTTTATTGACAAGGAAAGGACAGGAGGGAGATAAATAAAAAGGGTAACGAGGTCAGGAGCGGCGTGGGGACATTTCCAAGTGAACTGGTTGAGGCCATTCCATTATTTTTTCTTCCTTTGCCCTTTTCCCAGCAAGTTAGCCTCCCCTGTCCTGTCCACATCTGTTATAACGTTCACTTGATCGCATCCATGTATAAATGCAGGAGCAGAGCACGGCAAGGTAATGACACGCCAAGGCTGGTTTGTTCTTGGCGTGGCTGCACACTTCACCATCGTCCTTCAAGCCTTTCACGTCCGACTTGTCCCAAAGCACGCCCTTCCGGCATTAGCCAGGCGCTCCCCCGTTTCCAGCTTGATCTTCGGCCCCCCCTCCAGTCATGGCCTGCACCACTCAAGAATAAGGAGCTCAGGGTTCGCAATGTACAACTCGCCCGACGATGGGACCAGCAGCGGGCAAAGCGTGGTGGTGGAGGAGGTTGAGAAGGGGGAGACGGATCTTGAATTGAACGATACCGCAGTGCTCACGGCTTCTGTCGGCAGCCCCGCCACGGAGACGGCCAATGCCATGTTCCAACTGTGGAAGCGTCGGTTGTGGACGAAAGCTGACTATTTGCACTCCCATGCCGTATCGGGCGCGGCCTTCATGGTCCTAGGCGCCCTGTACGTTTTGTTTTTCGTGGGCGACCAAGTCTTCGGGGGGAGCGCCCTAGCCCAGGCCGAGCGCGGGGTGGTAGGATGGGTGCCCCTCGCCATCATGTGGACCGGCGTTGTGAATTGTATCAGCTGTCTGCCCATGTCCAAGTTCCGCGCGGGACCCCAGGGGGGCTACGACACCAAGGGCGCCGGTTTCAAAGGGTTGGGAATAGGCATGACCATGCTTGGCATATGGACCGCCTACTTCTTCTCCGGGCATTACCCGAGCTGGATGGCGCCGGTAGACCCGCTTTTGGCTCTGGGCTTTCTGGCGGTGATTGTGCATGGCATTGTCAATTCTGAGGTGGCCTTGGCCAAGGAACTGGAAGAGAAGGCTCCCGCCATGTCCCCTGAAGGCGTGTGGAGCTCTACCCCGTCCTCCCCTGCGTCCTCCCCGGACGCCTCCCTGACAGAGCGGGAGACCCGTACCGAAATCGTGCTGAACCACCGCGTCGCGTCGTACCCTAACCTCCTCCACCTCCCAGTCCTCTACAACGTCATCCTCGGAGGCCAGCCCTGGCTCCAGCAGGTGGTCGCCAAATTCCCACTGGAGCCCACCCTCCTCTTCCACGCCTCGTTCGGGATCGCGGTGGCGAACAGCATCGTCTTTCTGGGGGCGACTTTGAAGGACCGTAAGCTCATGACGTTGCGGCAGTGGTTGTTGCTCCAAGTGGTGGTGATGACCCCCTTCGTCACGACCGTCGTGGACGTGTGGAGCTTGGGAAGGGAAGTGAGCATCAACCCCTTGGAGGTCTACGCGGGCTTGATGGGTTGAGGTGGGGGAGGGAAGGGGGGTCGAATGACTGGTGCATGTACAGAGGCAAGGCGCCGCTCTTCGGGAGGCTTTTAACCGCATTGCTTTGGTGGGTAGACATTCATTACAGTAAGACAAGGCACTCTAAGCAAAGAATATCGGGGATTGGTCGCGGACACACTCGTGTCGGCCGTGCTATGCCTTAGGGGGCCCAGGCCCGTTTTTCCTTTGGCTACAATCCTTCTCGTCTTCCCCTGGCACTGGCCCCATTCAGGAGGTGATACAACAACGCAAGCACACGCGTGGTCTAGGCAAGGACACGTCCTGGCTTGGTTATGCGAGAGGACGTCTGTAATGCACGCCGTCGGGAAGACTCTCCCAAATAAACGTTCCCTTTCGCATGGTTTTCTCGAAGCAAGATACCGAATGATTCTTTCTCCGCTTTGGCATGCACACGCCCCCACCCCCCCTTCTCCTTATGATGCTCGACAGGGCCGCATCCCTCGCTTCCTCTTTATCGTGTCGATACTCCCTCATACACTCGAAGGTCGAAAACTCCCCGTTGGCACCGCGACTCCGCGACGCCGTGGCTGCACAAGACTCATGCACCGCGCGACTCATGCATCCAGAACGCTCTTATACATGCTATACATGACAATCACTCCGTAGTCAGGGACGCTCATTCCTCCTCTTCCGTGTCAAAATGCTGCGACTGCATCTGTTGGTGCATCATCTGCTGCCGGGGGGTCATGGGCCCGGCGAAGCTTTTGGGCGTCATCGGGTGCATCCCGCTCCGTGGAGTCATGGGCTGCGAGTAGTTCTCGTCCGTGTACATGCCTTGCTGGATGGGGCCCTCGTCCGGGCGGAAGATGACCAGGATCAAGGTGAGGATGATGTGGAGGACGGTCGCGACGATGTGCGTCGCAAAGCCCCAGGAGAAACGGAGCTGGGCGCTTTGACCGACAGGAATGTTTCGGAGCAAAAGAATTCGCAGGTTGCGGAAGACACCGCCAGCAGTCCCCAGGCCCAGAATGAGGAAAAGGGCGCTCCATAAGTGCTGTTGCCACATGACGGACCAGGCACGTTTTCCCGACGGCAGCTGTGGGGGGGAGGGGATATACAAAGCTTTTGAGTACGTGCGGTGGTTTCGACAGCCTGAGCTTTCTTGGCAAGGGAGGAACTTTTCACGTCTTGTCATTCTGGAGTAGGAGGTTCAAGCTTACCAGGGCCCGTTTGTCGGACATGATGTGCAGCACGTAGCCAAAGCAGGCAGTGACGAGCGCCATGATCAAAAACGCCTCAACGAACCAAACGGCGGCGCACATCCCATTGGCAGCCGCGAAGACACGGTCTCCGAAAAGCGTGCTGGTGGCGCACGTCTGGTATACCGAGTAGTAGGTGATTTGAGACTGCTGAGAGGGAAACGTCAGGTTTGTCCTGAAGCTGAAGTAGTCTGGGAAAGAGGGAAAGAGGCGTAGGGGGTCAGGGGGAAGAGCAGAGAGAAGGAGGGACGTGAGCTTTAGTGTACATGATCCAGTCCAAAGCACAAAGAGGAAGCGGTGTAAGCTTCTCCCGAGCCCATGACCCGATCCCATGGCATATTGGGCGCGGGAATGCTCCTTGTGGGGACCCTGTCTGCTTGCTGCCGGCCCGTCCGCTTTAGAACTTACATGTTGAGATCGCGGTGACGGCCGTGAAAAAGAGGGCAAGAGCCTCTAGAACCATGACTGACAAGGAAAGCATTGTTGGAAAGGACGTCGACCTTTACGAAAGGGGAACGGCTATTTCATGGACATGTAATGTGAGATAGTTTCGATCAATTTGTAAGGCATGGGTACTGCGTGCTGTCTAGTCAGTAGTATTTTTAGCATAAACACCTCTCACTGATGAAAGTCCACATGTAAGTATTAAGGATGCTTTAATTTCGAGCAGATCGGCAAAGCTCAGTGATGGCGGGATCGGAGTCAAGAACAGTTGGGTAGGAGGTCCGATCTCGCACAAAGGTGGACCAGCACCAAAAATGACATGCCTGTCCTTTGATTCGACACGCAAGATGCACAGGTCGACACAAGAAAAAATGGGTAACACAGAAAAGGGACTTATAAAGACAAACAAGACGGCCAACGGGTTTTACAAATAGCAATGGCGTGCATGTATTTTCCAATGGAGTAAGCGAGAAATCTATACCAGCTACGACTCATCAGGAAGGCAAACAAGGATCACACGCCAAGGCACGGCTGCATAAACTCTGTGTCCCTGCAAGCCTACACCACCCTACCATACCGAATAGAATCATACGACACGCATGTGGCAAAATTCAACGTTTGTTCGTCTTCTTGCATGGCCTTTTTCCTGTCAACACCAGAAGAGAAGGACGTTTCCCAAAACTTCAACTTGCTTTTTCTTGGAGTCGCCCCCCCACATGGCCCTTGACTCGCTTTCCGATCGCTTTCCCGTCCTTATACCCCCCGCTTTTGAAAAAGAGTGGTGTTTTATGCACAGGGACAGCGACAGGCGTCTACTATGCTTGGTACTATATCTTTCCTCGTTTTTTACGGTCGCAACGCGTCCTTTGTCCGTACTAATACTTGTCCTTTACGCTCCGTCTCCTTCCCCTCCCATTTCGCCATCAAGACGTGAAAGACCCGATGCCACCTGTTACGGCGCCGCACAATCCCTCCACACCTTCGTCTCCCTCCAATTTTTCTTTCAAGGCTAGCCGTCCTAGCCTTCCTCGATCCCTGCAGCGCGTCTTGGCCAAGTTGCTCACACATCCTCTTGTGGTTCCACTGATATCTTACGCGTATGCCGCGCCTTTCTTAATTCTATGGGCCAGAGTGCGTCTAGCGTCATTTTTAAAAGGGAAAAAAATGCTTGCTCCCATTGCACCAACGGACGATGTGGCTGCAGCGCTGTTGAACAAGGAATACGGGGCACACAAATATCTGGAAGCGAATGGGTTGCGTTTCCACTACGTAGAAGCGGGGCATCCCTCGAGTACCTCCCCGTTGGTCTTATTCTTGCACGGTAAGTTGTCCCGGAAAGGAGCAAGCTATGTAGGTCCGGGTAAAAAAGTGCGTCGAAAGGAGCTAGTGAGCTGGCGTTTCCGCCCGGATGAACATGGAAACACCGACAAGTCCACTTCAACCACGTTCATATCCTCCCCCCGCCCTTCTTTTGTCTGCGCAACTCTCCTGTATTCCCTTGCCTATCGTGTCCTCGGCCACTGCGCCTCCATTCCCCGCCGTCACCCTTAGTCCCCCGCACCACTATGCCCC